ATATTGGTCAGTGCCACTGATGGAGGCATTAGACCCTGCTTTCCTCGACGAGGTACTGAGCATCCTTTTCCCGGCTTCCGAGGACAAGGACGAGGAGGAATGGAGGGAGAGAGAGTCTCCCCATTCCGGGCACTGGCTGCTGGGTACCAGAGATGGAGGTATCTCATGAGGAGATACAATTGGCCGCGAAGAGAATGAGACAGAGAAGAGCGGCGCCTGGGCCTAGTGGAGTGTCGAGTCAAGCATGGTCAGTGGCATTGGATGGACTATACGCGAATGAGAAGGCTCTACACTTAATGCTTAAAAGATGGAGTCTTTCCGGACAGGTGGAAACAAGCCAAATTGGTTCTGAAAAGAAAAGAGAGTAAACCAGCCGATAACCCCTCGGGCTACCATATGTCTATTGGACGAGGGAGTCAAAATCTTTGAACGGATAATAGTGAGACGTATTAATGACTACCTGGATAGCTTGGGCATGGGCTCACACATGTCAATTTGGCTTTCGTAAAGGTCGTAATACCACGGACGCTATATTAAGTGTGCGCAGGTTTACCGAGGAGTACATCGATTCCACGGGGGGAGTCGTGGTTGGGGTGTCGGTCGACATCTTCAACGCCTTTAACTCCCTCTCGTGGAACAGTATTGGAAAGGCACTTCGGGCGGTTAAAATGCCGTACTATATAAGAAGAGTCCTGCGTGCGTATCTATCGGACAGATACCTTACATACCTAGATGGAAAGGGCGAAACCCAGGTCAGGAAGGTCGAGCGTGGGGTGCCGTCCTTGGCCCGTACCCTGGGCTTCAATGAGGTGCTGAGGAATGTGGACCTATACCAGAGGACTGTAAAGTCGCCGCCTATGCGGATGATACCTTTGTCCTGGCGGGAGGCGGTGATTGACAGGAAGAAGTCCTCAAAGCAAATGAAGCGATTACAAATGTAGTACATCATATTACACTGCTGGGCTTGAGTATTTCCGCGCAGAAGTCAGAAGCGATCTATTTTCGCGGAAATGGACGCTGAGGTCCTCCTGCGAACTCCGTAGTGAGAGTGGACGGATCTGACGTCCCCTTAAAGGACAATCTAAAATACCTGGGAGTGACCGTGGATAGTCGATGGACTTACGAGCGGCACTTCCAGGTACTAAACGAGAAGCTAGTGAAAACATAATATGAGATCAAAAACGTGGTGAGAATGTATAAACAAATTAAATTATTTAAAAGGCATAAACCACGAACGCCGATTCTAAATGGCTTAAATACTATATATATTTTCTTTAATCATTTACAATAATAGACGTTTCGGTCCTAAATTGGACCTTCTTCA